TAAATTCTCTTCGATAAAATGAACATTCGAAGTTTTAAAAATTCGATCAAATTAACATTCGGAGTTTTAAAAATTCTATCAAATTAACATTCGAAGTTTTGAAAATTCGATGTAATGAGCATTCGAAGTTTTGAAAATTCGAACAATTGAACATTCGAAGATTTGAAAATTCGATGAAATGAGCATTCGAAGTTTTGAAAATTCGATCTAATGAGCATTCGACGTTTTAAAAATTCGATCAAATGAACATTCGAAGATTTGAAAATTCGATCTAATGAGCATTCGAAGTTTTGAAAATTCGATCTAATGAGAATTCGAAGTTTTGAAAATTCGATGTAATGAGCATTCGAAGTTTTGGAAATTCGATGAAATGAGCATTCGAAGTTTTGAAAATTCGATGACATGAACATTCGACTTTTTAAAAATTCGATCTAATTAACATTCGATGTTTTAAAAATTCGATGAAATAAGCATTCGAAGTTTTGGAAATTCGATGAAATGAGCATTCGAAGTTCTGGAAATTCGATGAAATGAGCATTCGACGTTTTGAAAATTCGATGAAATAAGCATTCGAAGTTTTGAAAATTCGATCAATTTAACATTCGAAGTTTTAAAAATTCGATCTAATGAACATTCGAAGTTTTGAAAATTCGATGAAATGAGCATTCGACGTTTTGAAAATTCGATCAAATGAACATTCGAAGATTTGAAAATTCGATCAAATGAACATTCGAAGTTTTGAAAATTCGATCTAATGAGCATTCGACGTTTTGAAAATTCGATGAAATGAGCATTCGATGTTTTGAAAATTCGATGTAATGAGCATTCGACGTTTTGAAATTTCGATCAAATTATCATTCGATGTTTTAAAAATTCGATGTATTGAGCATTCGAAGTTTTTAAAATTCGATGTAATAAGCATTCGATGTTTTAAAAATTCGATGAAATGAGCATTCGAAGTTTTGGAAATTCGATGAAATGAGCATTCGAAGTTTTGGATATTCGACGAAATGAGCATTCGACGTTTTGAAAATTCGATAAAATAAGCATTCGAAGTTTTGAAAATTCGATCTAATGAGCATTCGATGTTTTAAAAATTCGATGAACTGAGCATTCGACGTTTTGAAAATTCGATCAAATTAACATTCGACGTTTTAAAAATTCGATCAAATTAACAATCGATGATTTAAAAATTCGATGAAATGAGCATTCGACGTTTTGAAAATTCGATGAAATAAGCATTCGAAGTTTTGAAAATTCGATCTAATGAGCATTCGACGTTTTGAAAATTCGATGTAATAAGCATTCGGAGTTTTGAAAATTCGATGTAATAAGCATTCGAAGTTTTGAAAATTCGATCAAATCAACATTCGAAGTTTTGAAAATTCGATGAAATGAGCATTCGATGTTTTAAAAATTCGATGAACTGAGCATTCGACGTTTTGAAAATTCGATCAAATTAACATTCGATGATTTAAAAATTCGATGTAATGAGCATTCGAAGTTTTGAAAATTCGATGAAATGAGCATTCGAAGTTTTGAAAATTCGATAAAATTAACATTCGACGTTTTAAAAATTCGATCAAATTAACAATCGATGATTTAAAAATTCGATGAAATGAGCATTCGACGTTTTGAAAATTCGATGAAATAAGCATTCGAAGTTTTGAAAATTCGATCAATTTAACATTCGAAGTTTTAAAAATTCGATCTAATGAACATTCGAAGTTTTGAAAATTCGATGAAATGAGCATTCGACGTTTTGAAAATTCGATCAAATGAACATTCGAAGATTTGAAAATTCGATCAAATGAACATTCGAAGATTTGAAAATTCGATGAAATGAGCATTCGACGTTTTAAAAATTCGATGTAATGTGCATTCGAAGTTTTGAAAATTCGATCAATTTAACATTCGATGTTTTAAAAATTCGATCAATTTAACATTCGATGTTTTAAAAATTCGATCTAATGAACATTCGAAGTTTTGAAAATTCGATGTGTTGAGCAATCGACGTTTTGAAAATTCGATATATTGAGCATTCGATGTTTTGAAAATTCGATGTATTGAGCATTCGATGTTTTGAAATTCGATGTAATGGATATTCGATCGATTTGATTTTTGGGAGATTTCATACGACCGCTTGTATCAACCAATCGTTTTGAGTTTAAATTCGTGCACTTTCAAGTATCACTAAAAAATCCATGTAATTAAAAAAAAATTTAATTTACAATGTAGTACATGCTTTTAAATTAACAATATTTTGTTCAATGCTTTTGGAATAAATACTGTTGATTAATTAGTAAGTTATTCTTAATGTTGAAGTTTTATGCAAGTGAGAAGAGAAACCATTTCCTTTTAAAACCATAATTTTACTAGACTAGAAAGCTGAATATCAATTATATAATATATACTCTTTTCAAGTATCGACAGTCACTTCCTAAATTTGAATTAGTAAACGTGTTTACTAATTTTAATTAGTAACTGACTTTTATTCTGCGTAGGCCTTTACTCGGGATTTATTGATGTCGCAGATTACAAATATAATGTCGGTTTTCAAAATGGCGTATCTAATATGTAACGAGCGACTATTATCTCGCTCGAATCGTGATTCGATATTAATCGAAATGCGATTAAAAGTCGCGGGAAAATATAATATTAATTTTATATTTAAAATAATATCCTGTCCATAGATTGAGAAGAACTTTCTGCGTTCGATTTAGTAAATATGTTCCTAAAATATTGTATTCTTCAAATATCTCTCTATCAATAGCCGAAATATAACAAAAGATGAAATACATATGTTTCGCAGACACAGTGTCTTTGAAAATATCGCTACAAAAAATAGTAAGGTTTAAACACATTTCCAGCAATATGAGTTTGTGTATTGTCACTCTGAAGACAATATACCCTTAAAACTCAAACACAATTGTCAACCATAAACTAAGAGAGATAACCCCAAAGATGTCATAAAAAACTGTCTTTCAATTCTCAAGTAGACCCTCTTTGGAGGTAAAACCATAAAACACATCGGTTGACCAACGTACATTTTATCCTTTTTCTCAGGATAAAATCACGTACTGGAAAAACCCAGTTTTCAATACTTTTTAGAAATGTTAATTATTCCACTACTTTTATAAATAATTGTAATTTGCATATTAGATTATTTCTATCAATCTAACATCTAATCAATTATTATAATATAATTGATAATGAATTAAGACTTGTAAATAAACTACATTCAAGCTTTATAGTTAAACAATTAATTTGTTATAACTATCATGACCATTAACTATGTATAATTCTATATAATATTTACTATATTTGTAACACGTATGTGTCATGTACAGGTGTAAATATAATTATTATAAATATAAATATTATTATTAGAATGTATGCATGTGTATATATATATTGAAATAATTATCATGTGATAATTATTGGAATCATAATGTTATGATGAATGTGTATGTATCAACATCGACAAGTATGACGTATGAGTCGGTATTAGTATTAGTGAAGTGCATAAATGTATCTACTATATAGTGGGGATACTACTATACTATACTATACTACTGTATAGTGGGGGATGCGCGTCATTTAGAACATGCGCATTTCCTCCAACATGGACTAACAGCGGAGAACAAGTCCGCTGGACTGTAACTACAGATTAGATTTAAGTTGACTATTGACTAGAAAGGTTGCTTCTAAGCTTCCTTAGTCATAACTTGTATTCTTGAACTTTTAGTAAATAAATATTTGGGTTTACTCTCAAGAAGACTGATTTCCTTCAATAATTAATTTTATTAATTATTGAATGATTTATTCTACTTGTGAGCTTTTTCCCTCCGTTTTAACGGAATATTCACGTTTATTATTTGAAATTTCCCGGTTCCTATCAAGGATTTAACCAAATTCTGAACTCAACGAATCACCGAGCAGTAATCGCGTTTGCGCGAGTAATTTACATTTGTGCTCGTAACAAATATGAGAACTAGTAATTTTGAAAGATAACTAGATTTGTTTGAATTCTGTTTCCCCGAGTAACGAATTTCAAGTGAATCCGAAGAATTTTTTAAAATGTTCGCCATATTGGATCCACCATTTTGAATTTTCAAAATTTGACATCGGATTTTAAATAAGCGACCTCAAATACAATAGTATACTCGTTTGCGCAAATTTTAGTTTTTTAAAAAGTTGTTGACATTTTGAGTCTATTTTTATGAGATTTTGGTCTTGATTATGTGGAGGGGTTAACATTAAAAAATCGCTGAACATTGCCAATTGGAAATTTTATTTTCTAATTTTGATATGTTTACCAAGAAATAAGAAGAAAAGTATAAAGAAAATCTAAAAGATCGTCGCAAGAACTCTACATTTAGTAAGTATTTATTTAAATTAATGATTCTATTTTCACATAATATTAATAAATGAATATCGCAAAATTATGTTATTTTGCAGGTAAATTTTGAATTCACATTTTATTTATTATTTTATATAATTTAATACTTTTATCAATTTATAATATACTCAATCTAGTCATACTTATTACAAATTGCAATAATTTTTTTTACAATTTTCCTGTAATTGTATGTTTTTTAAAATATTTTCTACTGGCCTATTTACAAAACGTAACGAAAAACGGAGCCATGGGGATCATGGAACTTCGTTCGCGAATGAGACGCATGAGATAGACAAGGACACAAATATATCTCTGTCCTTTTCTAACTCATGCTTCGCGTTGGCGAACGACTTTCGCGAATCTATTGTGCTTAGGCCTTTATGCACACTCACACCACTTTGGTTGCTGCCTGCCTGCAGGTTGTCATGGTAACATATAAGAGTAAGAGAGTCAGTGAATGCAAATATTATTTAATGCACTTTCTCTCTTACACCTGTTGCTCCTGCCTGCGTGCCCAGGCAGGCAGCCTGCAAAGGTGTGACCACAGCTTTATGCTCTTGGGATTCTATTGCAGAAAGGCATTTATAGCACATCAAACCTAACCTGAATGTACAAGGAACATTTTTTAATGTTTACCACGGAGTAATAATAATGTCTACAGATGATATTTCAAAACAAACATTCTAAATATTACAAGAAGTTTTTAATTTCGTTCAGAAGTATTTACATACCAGGACTGGTATAATTATTCTTGTTGTGAGTAAATATTTATATAAAAAAGTCCTTAATTTGATTTTACACTATTATAAGTATTTTTATGTCAATCGTGATGACATTTTTAATTGAAAACAATTTTTTACAATTTTTCTTTATAGTTTAATGGTTTAAAGTACCTATAAAATTTGTCTATATTCTAAGTAAAAACTTCAGAACTAAATGATCCATGTATCAGTAAATTTAAAACTAATTTTTAATTATTTACATACTTTTTTCTAATGAAAATATTAGGCTATTTATCCCGCTGATTTAAAAAAGTAGTAAATTTAAAGTAGGTATTTACATAGATCTCCCTTAATAATTACCTATCTAATTTTTTTTATAAAAATACAGTCAATATCAATGCCATTTGAAAACCGAAATAAAATTGAATAATTCTATTAAAAATATTTGTTTCCTTCAGGACTTAGTTGTCTGCAAATGAAAATTTTTCTTAATTGGAAAATTCACTATGACGTCTATTATTAAATTGCACGCAATTTCTGGAGCTCTGGATGAATCTCCGCCTTGTTACATTCTACAAGTTGACGAACTGCGTATATTATTAGATTGTGGGTGGGATGAAAAATTCGATCAAGATTTTATAAAGGAATTGAAGAGGTAAGTTAATAAAGCTGCAATTGGCACTCAGTTATCAGTTCCCACTTAATTTTTCAAAACTTTATGATAGTTTTAATAGTTAAAAAAATTTGTGTAACCGGCTCTTAAAGTAGAAACATTTTTTAAATTTAGTTTATTTTTTAAAATGAATCTATAATATATACATAATTTTAATCGATTTTTTTATTTAGGCACGTTAATCAAATCGATGCAGTATTATTATCATATCCTGATCCATTGCATTTAGGAGCTTTGCCATATTTGGTTGGAAAGTGTGGACTTAATTGTCCTATTTATGCAACTATCCCCGTCTACAAAATGGGACAAATGTTTATGTACGATATGTTTCAGGTAATATAATTATCACAATATCTTAAAGTTAAAAATTTATTTTATTACTCAATTGTTAGAATAAGTAATTGTTAAAATTAACAATCACTCCGAGTGTATATTACTAAACGGCACTGTCGAAAATATTCTGTGAAAATCGTATCAAAGCTTGTCTTAAGTTTAAAGAAAATTTACAAGTTATTTAAGGAACAAAGTGATGATTTTTATAAAATGTAACAATTTAAAAACAAAGAGTCTTGCTTCTCTTAATATGAAGTAAGTAAATAAAATTTTATTAATTATTTTTTTCATTATTCAGTCTAGACATAATATGGAAGATTTCGATTTGTTTACTTTGGATGATGTTGATGCGGCATTCGACAAAATTGTTCAACTAAAGTACAATCAGAGTATTTCTATGAAGGGAAAGGGTTATGGTGTAACATTGACACCCCTTCCTGCTGGTCATATGATCGGTGGTACAATTTGGAAGATAATGAAAGTTGGAGAGGAAGATATAATTTATGCTGTAGACTTTAATCATAAAAAGGAAAGACATTTAAATGGTTGTGAGTTGGACAGACTACAGAGACCTTCTCTGTTGATCACAGATGCTTTTAACGCCACATATCAGCAAGCTAGAAGAAGAACCAGAGATGAAAAATTAATGAGTAAGTAGATAAAATAATTTTTTATTGAATGATAAAAATAATTTTTGTGAAAGCTAATAAGTTTTATTGATGCAAGGGATTTCAATTAATAAAAAATGTTAATTAATTTAATATTGTTAATGACCCAACGTTGGAACGTGATTAAGTAATAAAAAAATAATTGTTTATTATTTTTAAGTAATATAACAATTGAAAAGATTTTGCTGGATATCTTGGGTCAATATCATATGAATATTTTTCCAAGCAATGAAGGGGTTAATAATTATAATAAAATTCAAATTTATTTATTAACACATATATAAGAAATTTAACATATTTTATATGTAAATTTAAATGAAAATTTTTTAAAATTTAATTTATCTCCTCTTGTTAAATATTTGATGCTTCCTCCTCCTCTTTCTCTTCTTCCTCCTCTTGAAATTGTACAAGAGGGTTTCCTTTGGACACTCTTCTCAACGTTTCTAGAAAAGAACGGTTTATTTATTTACAAGAGCAGTCAATTAAAAGAGTTAGTTAAAATATATAAATTAGAAATATCTTACTTCGATTTTCGTCTAATTTAAGATCAGAAATTATTTTTGATAAATGCCCTAACGCATTAAAAGTTTCCATGTCGGCACTTATGCGGTCAAACTCTTGCTCTTTCTCCAGCCAATACCTATAAGTATTTTTAATTTCAATAAACTTAGAGTCAAATGGACCAAGATACAATTAATTTTATAATGTTAAGGTGCCGTCCCATGTCGGCGTAAAAACGTCAAAGCGTCGAAGCGTCGGCGTTAAAGTATGAGAGTGAACGAGATAGAGATATAAGGTTGTGTCTTTCACTCTCATGCATTTACGTTTTGACGCCGACGCTTTGACGTTTTTACGCCGACATGGGACGGCACCTTTAATATGAAAATATAATTCTTTAAAGTTAAAGATTTTTTTTGTGATAATTGCGATTTCGAAATCTTGAGTTAAAGCGAACGCTAAATTTATTTGATGAAAAAATTTATTTTGATTTGCCAGTCTTACAATATCAAGAGGGTCATTCACAAACTACGTCACGCTTTTTCGGACTGATTTTACCCCCTCCCCTCCCCCTTCGTCACATTTTGATCGAGCTATCTTTCAAAGTTTTGTGTTTTTCGCCAATAATTGTCGTATCTCAGTTTTTAAATCAGTGATTTCCTCATTATTTCTTGAACTTTGTACTTTGTAGTTCTTCAAAAGAGTACCGAAGGAGACATCAGTTTCTGGCAAAGCATTATTGACGGATATTGTTTCACTACTGTCAAACATTTTTCACTTTTTAAAAATTTTAATTCAAATTCTTTTAAAAGAAATTATTTATTAATAATTATTAAAAAAAATTAAGAATAATTTTAATTATTTCAAACATACATACCGATGCTATGACTTTTCCCTGTGCATCTTTCACTTCGCGTATCCAAATTATGTCCTCAGGGCGAAAATGATTTTGGCAAACCACTTGACCACTTTTAACTTTAAAATTTTCTCGTGGAATTGCTTTTTGGCACTTTTCAACATTTTCTTTTCCACTTGGAACTGATAACATGTGGACTTTTTTCACATTTTGATTTTTTTTCCGTTGAGGAATAAAACCGGACTTACAGTTTGGCGCAATGCACGAATGCCCTTTGTAAGGCATTATTTATTAAAAATAATTCTCACTTTAAAATATTTTATGTTTCACATAGAAGTAAATTTTTTCTAAAAGAGAACGAAAGAAAACAATGCACGGCATATTATAAAAGTAAACAAAACAGAGCAGGACGCGGACAGCGCTATCTCGGGCTGATTTCTGCTGCAATCGCAAGGAAAGGCCTAAGCACAACTTCTTCGCGAATGTCATTCGCGAACGCAATGCATGGGTTAGAAAAGGATAGATATATATTTGTGTCCTTTTCTAACTCATGCTTTACATTCGCGAACGACGTTCGCGAAGCAGTTGTGCGTTAGCCTGAAGTAAAACCGGGGTGATTTAAATGGAATGAATGAAATATATTTTCAAAATTACCATTTGAATAGAAAGAATCCGCTGTTGGTAAAGAAGAGAGCGCCGCTGCACTGCGCGCACTATCTACCGATTATGCGCCGCATTGAAAACAGCCTATGCCGCATTGGACTCATATTTGACAGTTCAACTTACCTTTTTTTCTTAAAATTTCATTTTCACACTCACTATTAGTATTTTTTCATTTCTTTAACTCGTATTTTGCTCCACTAACACTAATTATTTACTCCTGTCACGTATTTTCTTTTCTTAAAGCTTAAAACTTGCACCGCATTGGGACCCCTTGATTTTCGCATTCACCACGACACCCAATGCGGTATTTCGCGAATACCGCATTGGCAGGTTGGCTCTCCCAATACGGAATCCCGTACCTCCCAATACTTTTTTTACAGGGCTACTATATAATATACTTTTGTTATTTTAATTTGAAAGTTGAGAGTTTGTCCAATAGAACTACATGAATCCAAAAATGGAATAACAATACCCAACTAGCACGTAGTATTACAGAAATATTAAAGTGTCCACCTAATGGTCATATTACCGGGAAATTACTGTAATATTAGTTGATTATAAAGAAATCACATTTAAGTGTAAAAATCTTTTTTGTATATTTTGTGTTGGGTCAGTCCATTATATTTCATCTGAAGTCGTTGCGGCCTATTTTTAAAAAAATCTCATAATTTGGAAAAATGATGTTTAATATTCATAAAATCAATTTTTAAGAATTATTTTATAAAATTTTTTTAATTTAACTTAGAATTTTAATTTTTAAGTTAAGTTAGACAGAAAAAAGGTTAGATTGTCAGTTACGAAAATTTAATAAAAAGCATGGAAATAATTTAGATAATACAAATTTCTTGATTTATATTTGTTAGAAATGAGCTAATTTACTTGTATAAATAAATTATTATGTAAACATACCCAAACTAATAGATAAAAATTGATTTTAAAACTTAACTATATAATGTCAAAAATCACTATATTTTATTTACATTTTTATCTATTATTCTGGGTATGTTTACATAATAATCTATTTATACAAGTAAATTAGCTCATTTTTAACAAATATAAATCAAGAAATTTGTATTATCTAAATTATTTCCATGCTTTTTTATTAAATTTTCATAACTGACAATCTAACCTTTCTTCTGTCCAACTCAACTTAAAAATTAAAATTCTAAGTTAAATTCAAAAAATTTTATAATTAATAATTCGCTCAAAAATGAATTCTATGGATATTAAACATCATTTTTACAAATTATGAGATTTTTTTAAAAATAGGCCGCAACGGCTTCAGGTGAAATATAATGGACTGACCCTTTATTAATTTATTTTCAGCGAATATTTTGCAGACATTGCGTGGAGGTGGCAATGTTTTGGTTGGCGTTGATACTGCTGGTAGAGTTTTAGAACTTGCTCACATGTTGGATCAACTATGGAGAAATAAAGATTCAGGCTTGCTTGCATATTCCCTAGCACTTTTAAACAATGTTAGCTATAATGTTGTGGAATTTGCTAAATCTCAAATCGAATGGATGAGCGACAAATTGATGAGAAGTTTTGAGGGCGCAAGGAATAACCCTTTTCAATTTAAACATTTACAATTGTGTCACAGCATGGCAGAATTAAGTCAGGTTCCCAGTCCAAAAGTAAGAAAAATAGATTTCATTCATTGTATTTTAAGGAGTTAATAATATAATAAGTATTATCATATTTAATTGGGAGAATATTCACTTTTAGTTCACTCATTTTTAATAAGTGTTATTTAAGAAAATATAAAACTAAAACATTTTTTTGAATAATTAGGAAATTTTTTTTATAAAATTTAGATTTTTGGTGAAGAAAAGTCTGAAAAATTACTTTCCATAATTTTCCCGGTTGACGGCAATTGTTACATGTATTATTATATAATTTTGAATTATTTAGGTAGTTCTAGCTAGTACACCTGATATGGAATGCGGATTTTCTCGAGAGCTGTTTCTTCAGTGGTGTTCGAATCCCCAAAATAGTATTATTATAACAAATAGAACATCGCCTGGAACATTAGCAAGAGATTTAGTGGAATTGGGAGGAAATAGAACTATATCACTTGAAGTGAAGAAACGTGTAAAGTTAGAAGGAACTGAATTGGAAGAGCATTTGAGGAAAGAGAAAGTTAAAGAAGAACAACTTAAGAAAGAGCAGATGTAAACAATTTTTTGAAATATATTTTAATTTATTTTCTTATTTTGATCTTTAATTAATAATAAAGTTTGACGACAACAATTAAAAATGTAAAATATAATGCTATCACAAATTGAAAACTGAATATTGACAAACTGAATTTTATTAATTATTATATGATGAATATTTCACATTATGTACAACATTATCAATTTTTAGGGTAACTGCAGATATTAGTTCAGAGTCAGAAGATGAGATAGAAGTTGGAGGTGGAAAGGGTAAACATGATTTGTTAGTAAAGTTGGAATCAAAACCTGGATTTTTTAAACAAAGTAAGAAGCAGTATCCGATGTTTCCTTTCCACGAGGATAAAATTAAAAGTGATGAGTATGGAGAAATTATAAGGTAAATTTTTTTTTCTTATTTAACATATTTTATCATTTTTATTGTTCAATTTTATGACTTACAAGCGATAAATAACAAAAATAATGAAGCGTATACTTAGCTTTACTAATTAATTCATATTATAAATTATTTGCACAAATACTAGTTAATTGTTTTTCAAAAATACCACAGTAAAACGTGAGGTGTTAAAATAACACCAGAATGGATTAAAATAATCAGCAACAGTTTAATCCCTCTAGGATTAAATTAACACGAGAAAGGATTAAAATAATCTATTTTGGTGTTATTTTTAACTATGAATGAAATTTTACTTCAAATAAAACACCAAAGTCAACGATTTGTAAAAATTCAACGAATTTAGCTTCTCTAGGCAGAATAGTAAGTTAGTAAGTTAGTTATTAACTTAGTTACTAACTTGGTAACATAGTTACTAAATTCAATTGTGTTCACAAATTTTTAAAAATTCTCGTCAAAATTTCAATTCTCTTTATAAATAATAAAATTCTTCTCTGACATTTAATTATTTTACAAAATTTTAATCAAATTCTTGTCAAAATTTCAATTATTTTCAAAAGTTTTCTAAACTTCAATGATTTTCAATATCTACTATTTCAATAAAATTTTCCAAAAGAATTCCATTATTAAAAAAAATTTGAATAAAATTCTACGCAAACATTCAATTATTTTCATAAGGGGCCATTCAAGTATTACGTAAGCATATTTTTCAGGTTTTTAGACCCCCCCCCCTCCCCCATGTAAGATTTTTTATATACATTAGCGCCATTTTTTCTAATGGAAATAAGCAATAGCTAGACCCCCCCTCCCCCTTAAATGCTTACGTAATACTTGAATGGTCCCTAAATAATAAAAATTTTTACAGGAATTCAATTATTTACAAATTTTTTTTATAAATTTCTTCGCAATAATTCAATTATTTTCATAAATAATAACATTTTTTACAGGGATTCTATTATTTTTATAAATAATAAAATTCTTTTAGGAATTCAATTATTTTCATAAATAATAAAACTCATTGCAGAATTTCAATTATTTTTAATGCAATTTTAATCGAATTCCTCGAAAAATGTAATTATTCTTAAAAATTTTATTAAAATTCGTCGATTTTTTTTAAAATGCATTTTCTAAAAGTATACCATTTCAAAAGTATTCTCTGAAAATTTGAGACAAATCGGACTATTATTTATGGAGATATAGAATTTTGAATGGAGCCGTTTTTACCACTTATTTGTTATATAATTGGCCGGTACTTGAACGAAGGATTTTTTTTTTGACAATAATTTTTTCTTTTATAGCTGAAAATGTGAGTAAAATTTTGGTCAAAAAACAATTTTTGACTTTCAACATCCGCCATTTTGAGAAAAATCAAAATTTTTCAAATCCCTTCGTTCAAGTACCGCGAATCAAATCGCGAAGAAGAAATCGTTAGGTAATGATATAATTATCATTACCTAACGATTTCTTCTTCGCGATTTGATTTTAGATGATCCAATCAAGAGATAGCGTGATCACCGCGAAACCATTTTTATTTAAGGAGCTCACGCAAATGTTCTATCATTCGCATATTTCTTTATATTTATGGACTATAATTTCAGAAAATTTTCTTGAAATATATTTATTTTATGTGGAAAAAGATTTGTTATTAATTATTTTAAAGTGTGGCCACAAAAAATTCCTAAAAAAAACAGCTTTTTTTGAAGCTCTAACTGTACGTAACCCCTTAATGATTTAAAAAATTTGTTAATAATATTTTTCATGAGAATTTAATTTCAAGAAACATGAAATTAATAAATTATTTATTTTTGTATTTAAATAATTGAATTCTCGTAAAATTTACTAATAAAAATGGTTTTAAAAATGAATTTCAGTTGAAATTTTAGATTACCTATAATTAAATATTGAAAGCATTATAACGTGGATTTTTAGAAATAATTAAATTTTAAAAAAGTTTCAAACTAAAATCATTGAAATTCGTAATTTTTCATATTTTTGAAAAAAAATTCTGTAGGATTAATTCTTTTTAAAAGTTTAATAGGATTTTTATTGAAATTATTTCAAGTTTTTATTTTTGAATGTAATATTTAATTGCAGAATTTACGAATAATTGAAATTTTGTAAAATTGAATTGTAAACGAATGAATTTGAAAATTCTCATAAAACTCATTATGTTTATGCAAGTTTTAATAAAAAACGACAAAAGAATTCAATTATTTAAAAATTTGTCACTAAAATTCTTTATGAGAATTGAATTTTGAGAAACATTCAATTATTCAATAAATTATTTACTTTTGCATTTAAATAATTAAATTCTTGTAGAAGTATTTAATAAAAATTGATTTTCATTTCATAAAAATGAATTTCAGTTAAAATTTTAGATTATAATTGAATATTAAAAGCAATATAGCGTGAATTTTTAGAAATAATTGAATTTTGAAATTAATTGTTTTGAAAAAGTTTAATTGAATTTTCTTTTATATTATTTGAAGTTTTTATTTTCTAATATGCATTTAATTAAAGAATTTTGGAATAATTGAAATTTCGTGAAATTGAATATTGTAAACCAATGGATTTGAAAATTGACAAAGAACTTTTTCGAAAATTATTAAAAATAGTAGATATAAAGTAATATTGTAGTTAAAAATTTTTGAAAAAATAATTGAATTGAAATAATGAAAATAATTTTGAAGAAGTATAATATTCTTATAATATAAAATAATGATTTTATTACTTGGTCATCTTTAATTATTATAAAATATGAAGAAATCGATCACTCCGAGTCGAAGACTCGGAGTGATCGATTTCTTCATGTTTTATAGTTATAAAAAAATTTAATGAACTAAAATTTCATTCATTGTAAAAAATAACACCAAAATTGCTTATTTTAATCTTTTTTGGTGTTAATTTAATCTGCAACACTTTTTAATACCTCACAATTTATTGTGACTTTTATAACAGTAACTTAAACACGATTAGAAATTAAATTTACCTAAAAATAAAGCATAAATGTTGTAAAAGGATTTGACTCAATATAAAATAATTAAAATTTAATATTTTTTAGATCTGAAGATTATAAAATTGTTGAAAAGACAGAAAATGAAACGGAAGATAATAAAGAAAATGTTGAAATTAAAACAGACGAGACTTTACAACATCCAGATTCTGGTACAGATATTCCAACTAAATGTGTTGCAACAGTAAGAAATGTGATCGTAAATGCATCAGTTACATACATTGATTTTGAAGGAAGATCCGATGGTGAATCATTACAAAAAATTTTAGCTCAATTGAAACCAAGAAGGGTAGTTTTAGTTCGAGGTTCAGCCAAAGACACTGATATTCTTGCTAAGCAAGCAGAAAACGTAGGAGCGAGAGTTTTTACTCCTAGTAGGGGAGAAATTATTGATGCGACAACAGAAACTCATATCTATCAGGTAATTAATTTATATCATCAAACTATTTTGATAAAGTAATTTTAAGAATTAAAATATTAAGTCACTCAAAACTAAAAGTATGCTGAGACTAATGATTCATGTACTTTTTAATTTCTTATATTATTAATTAATAAATCTATTATATTTTTCAGTTCATTTAAATATTTTCGTATTTTTTGTAAAATTAAAAAAAAAATTTCAAAGTTGCGTAAAATTTAAAAATATTGACTAAAATAAAAACAGAGAATAGAGATTTGAAAGATACTGTTCTTGAAAATAAACATTTACTTTAAAAATAAATTGTCGCTTAAATAACGAGATGTCTTATTTTAAAATGTCTTTCTTACAAAGTAAGTTGACTTTTATTAAAGAATTTTTAATCTTCTTTAATAAAATGCAGTTGAGACTTAACAAATTTTATTGATTATGTCAAGGTCGAAATTCGTCGCACTTTTTTAATTGTTTATTCGATTTCCACTTCAAGAAGCGTTACATGAAATGTTTTTTCCAAAAATATTAATTTTAAATACATTTATATTTGTAATTGTTGACATTAATTGTTTTCAGGTTAGACTAACTGATGCTTTGGTAAGCGGATTGATATTTTCAAAAGCTAAAGGAGATACAGAAGTAGCATGGGTAGATGCAATGATCACAGCACGTAATCAAATTTGTCAAGATGCTGTTTCTAATGGTGAAGTTAATTCCGAGCAAATTCTTACCTTAGAACCTTTGCCGTTGAATGAGGTAAGTTTTGCATCAATTGAAATTTTTAATATATTATTTATCAGGGGTGGGTAAAATTATTCTTGAAACATATTTAAAATAAAAAATACGTTCGAAAAATATACTTAAAATGTAAAATAGAAAATAGTTGTCGGTTTCCTACTTAAAATGTGAAATACAAAATATATATTTAAAATAAAGCATTTTCAGAAAAATAGGATCAAAGTATCAAACAATGCAAGTTTTGAAACTTTACAAAGCACTTTCAAAAAGCGATGCGATAAAAAGTTCAAATGGGGTTTAAAACAGTTCTTTGTTCTTTGTTAATAGGTGCCTGGACATCAAACGACATTTATAAATGAATTAAAACTTGCCGATTTCCGACAAGTTTTAAACAAACACAACATTCCATCTGAAATTAGTGGTGGTGTACTTTGGTGTTGTGGAAATACGATAGCACTTAGAAGGGTAAGTTTAATCTATTTTCAATTATTAATTATGACAATTCTTTACAAAGTAAAACACACAAAAGAAATAGTAGTGAAGAGTCGGATAAGTTCGGCCTTTGGCTAAATCCGCTTTTTCTTAATATCCCAGTAATAAGGGGCGAATTAAAGTGGATTGGCACTTTTATGCTCTTAAATTCCAAACCAATTCCGTTTTTGTCCGCAATCTTAATGAATTACTTTTCTATTGTTAAATTCATAATTTCTATCCAATTCAATTCTCTGTAACCACGTGACCAGAATTTAAAACCCCTTTAATGCCCTTTAAAGAATTCAATGTTAATTAAAAGGCATTATCTCCACAACAAATGATTCCCGTAAACGGCATTAAAATGAATTCAGACTCTGGTCACGTGGTTACAGAGAATTTAATTGGATAGAAATTATCAACTTAACAATAGAAAAGGAATTCGTTAAGATTGCGGACAAAAACGGAATTGGTTTGGAATTTAAGGGCATAAAAGTACCAATCCACTTTAATTAATCCCTTATTACTGGGATATGTTACAAAAAATTTTTTTAAGGATGTTTATAAGAAAGAAATGCAGACCTCTAGAAAAATAATTAATTAGCATTTAAATAATTGAAACCATGTTATTAATAGTATTTCCTATAAAAATATAATTATGAATTTTCTTGAAAAAATAGTGACAATCAAAAATTTAATTTATTTATACAATTTACATATATGTGACTGTCCACGAGAAAACACGGCTTAGGTCCAAAAAATCAATTTGAGTTTTTTATGGTAATCGACAGGTTTTATGTTGCTTTTTCAAAGGCAAAAGTCAAAAGTTAAAAATATCAATTACTTTCGACAATACATTGTTTTAAAGATGGGTATGTCAAGCGTAGTTAACTTCAATCGTAGTACTTCAATCGCTTGCCCTGTGAAATTCACGTTTGGGAGCTAAGCCGTGTTTTCTCGTGGACAGTCACATATATATATGATCCAAACTTGTCATATCGCTTCAGTAGAATTTTTTAAAAATGATTCGATTTTAATGTATAATATGGCTTATTTTCTTCAAAAATTTTCTTCTCTACAACGGCATCGTTCAGATTTTTAATCGAGAATATAATTAATTTTTAACTTTTTAGTTAAACCCATTTAGTCCCAAATGTCCGTTTTTCTTAGTACAAGTTCGAGCTTTCCGGTTTTAAAAAAAATCGGGACAAAGGTTTTCTTATGGATTTGAGTGTCCTCTTTCAGAATCTGAAAGATTTCAATTTCGATTTTATGATAAAAAGTTATAACTATTTCAATTAAAAAAAGCCGTTTTTTAGTGATTTTTTTTTTAAATCAGATTATTTAATCGAAATCAGTTTGGAAAAAATCCGGAACATCAAAATATCGCGTCCAAAATGTTGGGACTATCAAATATAGGCATGCTGACAAAAACAAATTTTTTCAAATTTCAAAATGGTTCCTACAAAAATCCGAACTTAAAATTCCATACCTTTTCCATGATTTTCAGGTCAAATTTTTAGGAACTTCCAGTGGAATTTTAAATTTAATTTCCAAGCCGTATAATATATATATTATATTTTAAAATTTGTAATTGAATTTCTATTGAAAAGAAAAAATGGAAAACAGGAAAAATTTAGAAATTTTTAAAAATTCCATGCCTTTTCCATGATTTCCCTGATTTCCAGAAGCCTTTTAAAAATTCCATACCATTTCCATGAATTCCAGATTCTGTAGGAACCCTGAAGATGTGCAAGCTTGTGTCAAGTTCGTTGCAAGTACTATGATGTCCTAGAGTTGCAAGCTTGCACTGCAAGACTGTCGTAAGGTTCTAATGCAAGCTTGCTGCAGGATGACTCAATAAGCTTGATGCAAGGTCGTAATGCAAGCTTGCAGCCTGGTTGTCTTCTAGGCAAATATTTAATTATATAATATTAAATAAATTAATTAATTTTCAATTTTTATTTAATATAACATATGTAATTATAACAAGGTTATAATAAAAGTGTTATTAATTTCCCCAAAGAATTGGAGTTACCGAGGGTTTAGTTTTTTTGATGGCGTTAGAAATTTCACGAGGACTTGACAACTCAATGCCATCTACATTTAATTGAGTATTAAGAACCTTGATCTTCTTGACCTTGCAGTAGTATCAGGTGACCGTCCATCTTGTGCCCTCGTCGCTCATGTCTGTCGTGAGAAAATGTACCTGTTCAAAGCAATTTGCTATTTCCTCGGCTTTTGCTGAGTCGTCAGTGTTTAAACCACTTTGACCATGTAGGGTAGGTATGGTGTATGTATTTTCTTTTGAAAAACAGCACGCTGTTTTCCATAGTGGGCTATCAGTGACCTTCAAGGCATGTGATTTGAGTTAAGATCATTTATGACATCCACCGTGATTACACTATTTATGTTTTTTGTAAGAACTATGTCGACCATACCATTTATTTTAAATTTTTTTGTGCTTGAAATTCTAGTCTCAATGAGCAACACTAAATCGAGATCATATTCAGATAAGAATTCAGTTAATTCAGATTTATTATTATATATGCCATTGGAGTTCCAGTGTCCAATTTAAATTGTTTTATTTACTTTTCTATAATCCATTGCTAACTATACAAAAGGCTTCAAGTCTCTCTATGTCTGTGTAGTGTTGCATTCAAGAATCTCTCCTTTCATAAAAGAAAAAAGACAGAACTTAGGCATTCATTTTTTTTCCATGTACTTTTAACGAGATTCTCGTTTTTTTCAATTTTTAACGATCGATTTCTCGCTCGAATGCAACATTAGACTCGTTGATCCCATGATTCATAGCATTCGTCCAGGCTAGTACTCGAGTTTGTTGCTTCGCCTCAAGAACTGGAAACTCTCGGATTGTCAATGTAGGAGGATGTGATTTTCCATTCTTCAGTCGTTTTTCGTTTCTAGGTTGAAAGATGTTTCTCCTTGCCAGGATTCTTTCGACATGTTTTAAGTAGTATTCACATTTTGAGTAATTTGCCGGATGTTCACCACCGCAGTTCGTGCACTTTGGTGGCTCGTCAGTTGATTTGTCGCAATTTTTTCTTAAGTTGGGCCTCTCATGTCATGAAATCGACCGGCCGAAGTGACTCGTGAGAATCGTGAATGGTCTGTTCAGGAGACGGATACTTATACTCTGTGCAAACATAATTAAGTATGTTTAAATGACTTACATTTTCGCCCTAAAATTCTACATGCGCATTTAATGCCAATCATTAAAAAAATATTTCATACTGTTCTCATGTCGTACATACTTGCAACGTTTATACCTGTCGAAGAAAATTTGTTTTTCTATTTACCTAAATATTTACCATCATGAGTTCTCGAACGCGAGATGCTCTATCAACTGCGCCACAGAGGTTCATGAAAGGGAATTTAGAATATACATATACGAAGGAACTATGAAAATATAATAAGTAACTTGAAAAAGGGATACTGTAATTGCAAACAACAGTATAATTATGTTATGTATAATATACATTAAATTTAACAATGCTATGTTTTTGAAGAATGTTAATTTTCAAAGTTAAAAGTATAAGGAAAGACTTAGGGCTAATTTCTCCAACTTCAATTAAAAGTTAATCAATGATTGAAGCCCGTTTAACGGCTCATGATTTGTTGATTGGGGATTCAATCATTGATTAACTTTTAAACAATTATAAGACTTTTATACATAAGAAAATTGATTTAATAGTTAACGGAAGAATAATAAAACTGAAGAAAGTTTAATGTTGAAGTAAAAAGGGTCTCCCTTCGAGTTTGTCTTATTGAGAGTTGACTATAAGTAGAAAATGTATAGAATTATGAAAGAAATATACAAACCCATCAAGAATAAGTTTATTGACCACTATTTTCACCATTACACTAATCAAACATGATTCAAACACACAATATTTTCGACAGGGTACTGTTTAGTTTAATTTCATTAGCATAAACAAAATATGTATTTAAATAATTTGTACTTTTATGTTTCAGCATGAGGCAGGTAAAGTTATTTTAGAAGGCTGCCTATGTGACGAATATTATAAAATAAGAGAATTATTATATGAACAGTATGCGATTGTTTAATTCTCTTAAATTTAATATGAAAGTGTCACATATTACATTGTAATTTGTATAAAATAAACTTTGAATATTCTTATAATTATTATAATTAACTGTAGTTTTCTTTATCATTATAGCTGAAAATGTAACATATCTATGAGAGTAAGTGTTATTTTTAAGTAAATTGTCTTTTCTTCTCAATTATTGTTATTTGTAATAATTATTTTCGTGACTCGTAATTCTTAAAAACTTTTTGAAAATTAAATAAGTTATTTTTTAACCAGCACAATTCAAATATGCTTTTCTAAAAGTAATATATTTAAATATATATAATATATTTTTATAAATCTGAAGAGTGTGAAGTATAAATTTAAAACAATTCTAAATTTTCTGCTAACGTTAAACAAAATCTGACGCTTCAACATACAATAGAATAAGAAATTTAAACAAATAAATTTCGCCGTCAGTCGTTAATTAATTTTAAAGCTCAATTAATAAACTACATTTTACTCAACAACCACAACAAAATAATTTACAAAAATATCTTTGAGTTTCTCTCTCGCTCAGAGGGAATTCTGCCTGAACGGCTGGCAAGCAGAAAATGCCAACGGCGAGACACGACTGGCACAGTATTGAAAATCGGACTTACCCACGATGCTTCTCTCCAAAGGACTATGATTTTCCCTCCTCCTGCTGCCTCAGCACTAAATGCGAGATTAACAAATGTTCCTTAAATATAGCTTCTGACTATTGAGATTGAAGAAGAGCCTCTCGACACTGCAAGCATTGTACTCTTAAATATGTTTTTTGATCTGTTAAAATCTTTTGAACCACCCACCCAGCAATATAAGAAACACAACCTTGTGAAAAAGCAGATAAAGAATTCGGTAAAGAAGCAGCGGAAATCGAAAAATTGTTATCAAAATCATTATTTTCAATTTGATACTCTACTTCGACAAGTCCGTACTTTTTTCAACTCTCTGATGGCTTACCTCGTCGTATAAAGAAAGATCGTAGTAATTTATTCTTTTAGATTTTGATCTTACACTAGGAACTGTTAAAATGGTAGTTGAATCCATAGCTTCAACATTGCCATTTGTAGAAACTACTTCATGGTAAACAAGAAGACGTTTATAAGCTACAACAAATTGAGTGCACGTCGGACTTGTGCACCAGCCACCACATTGTCTGATAGCGCAAAAAAATAATTCTAAATGATCCTTACTTATTTTGTATGATAATAGATAACGAAGTTGAGAATCCTCCGACTTCACGTACAAATTAAAAATGTTAATTACTGATATCATAGCTGTTATAAACCCTACGAATGGAACATAGCGTCTAGTTTTCCAAATCGGAATACCAAAAACGTCAGTGATTCCTTTTAAATAATCAATTTCTTGCAAGATGTTTTGCCTCTAAAAGATTTCATTTGATTTGCGCAAAGGTGACTTAAATCCTTTTCCGAATGGATTACGCGAATTAAGAAAATCAAAAATTCGATCTACACTACGAATAAATTTAACAGTTCCTGAGCTACCTTCAAAATTTTTTAATTTTAAATATTTTTCACAATATTTGAGAGAACTGGCAGTGCTACTACTCAAAGTTTGAGCAGCTAGCAGTACTTTCATTTTCATTTTATGAAAATTAGTATGGGCTCTACGAAGTTTGTTTCCTGCTCTGAGTCCCTCCTGTTCCTGCAGATTAACTAAATTTTCAATGAAACGCCATTCAATAAGATTTCCTTCACTATCCTTTAAAACTTTTAACTGACCTAAACAATTACGGAACAATTTGAGCATGTGAGATGCATAAAAAATAACAGAAATCTGTTCTTTCGTTGATGGATGCTGGAAATACGGTTTAGGGTTTGGCAAAGTCAAATGTAGCACCTAAAACTTTCATTGCAGCAAAATGTTCTGCTGTACCATCCAAAGTTAACGAAAGTACATTAACTTTAATATCATTTATTAATATCAAAGCATTCGATATTATTCCAGCAGTTGTAACTGAGTCCATACCGTTAACAACGACGTAACCTATTGGCAGCTTCCAACTATTATCTACAGAAACAACCATTAACACAATAGGTTCCTCTGCTAACTGCATCTTATCACTATCATCCATTTGACTTCCTACATCTACATACCCTCGAACTTTGCCATTTGGAAGATATTGCAACCCTTTTTTATAGACATACCGTCTATCATTAAACTGATTAAGACTTCTTTCCCTTTTTCAGAAGCTTCTGTTACTTTATGGCGTAAAGCATCAAAACTTTCTGACGTAAAGCCAGGTTCTCCAGGCAAGGAAGAGTACCATTCTTTTAAGGTCCTAGGATGGGGAAGAGCATTACAGAATTTTCTTCTGACAAATGCATATGCTTTCGGGGAGTAAAAGTGCAGAGAACATGCAAATGACCTTAGTGCAGAAGGATACTTCTCTCTACTAATGCCGTTTAGTTGTTTACGCCTTTGAGCTTTAAAAACTCGCTTTTTAGTTAAAGACTACGTTTTAACAACATTATTATTTCGGATGAACTTTTTCATTAGCTGAGATACATCACTCTCTGTAATACTATCTAAGTATGCAAGTCCATTTTCTGACACTGCACGAGTACGTCGTAATTTACTTACAATATCGCTAAGAGTAGAGACTTTTTTCTTTAGACGCTTAATAACCTGCTTCTGTATTTTCGATCTTTGTAATTTTTGTCGCATTCCACTGTACCGCCTCATCAAGCCTCTAGGACTGGAACACCCGTATCCGACCGACAACACTTCCATTGAGTTGCGTCGTCCTATTGTAGTTCCACTTCGTTAGTACCATTTTGGCGGCGCCACTTCTACATACATCTAATAAATACATTATATGGTCAAATTATGAATCTTAGATGTTTAAAAAGATATAATTAAAATTTTAACCTCCATTAAACAAAATTCAACCTTTAATTCTTTTTTCTCGAATAAACGGTTTCTTACGCATTTCGTCAAATGTGGTGTATCAGAAAACACAAACACTTGTCGATTTAGGTCTATTGGATGAGGAAACCAGCTTTTCACTTCATTGATTTTTCCACTTACGCCTATTATCGACCAAAATTTTCGATTTTGTGTTGCTCCATCACTAATAAAACCATGGATTTTTGCACCGTCATTTTCTAATAATGAGATTGCCTGAATAATCAGTTTTAGCAATAGTTGTACCGCAAGCTGGTCCTTTAGAATCAAATACTGCCACGGGTTGAGTAAATGTTCCCATCAATAGTTGGAACATACAAACCATCCCATGATTCGCTTTTTCGGTTATTTCAACTTGCTCATTGTCTCCATTATCTGCTAGTCCAAGAATTATAAAGGATTTTTTATCTAATCGAATATTTCTCCTGGTAGCCATCCCTGTAAAAAAAAGTATTGGGAGGTACGGGATTCCGTATTGCAAGTGCCAACCTGCCAATGCGGTATTCGCGAATTACCGCATTGGGTGTCGTGGTGAATACGGAAATCAAGAGGTCCCAATGCGGTGCCAGTTTTAAGCTTTAAAAAAACGAAAATACTTGACAGGAGGAAATAATTAGTGTCAGTGGAGAAATATGCGAGTTAAAGGAATGAGAAAATAATAATAGTGAGTGTAAAAATGAAATTTTAAGAAAAAAAGGTAAGTTGAACTGTCAAATATGGGCCCAATGCGGCATAGGCTGATTTCAATGCGCCACAGCAAAAGCAACTTTGACTGGTTTAAATGGTGTGAAATAGGTAAACAAACATTTTCTAACACATTTGTCTCCGTACACAGACACTTTTCACTAAATCTGCCAACGTACAATTGGTAAGCATCTTCTAAATTACAATAATCGAAAATATTCTTTAGATTCATGCAGAAACGTGGTTATAAAATAAAAAATTGGAAAGTAATGTAATGCAAATCATATGTCAGCTGGGCCACTGTGTTCGCTCGATTCGCTCTGCTTGCTTCTGCCCTCTACTGGCGACTTGCACTATGTACCGATTGTGTACCGCATTGAAAGCAGCCTTCGCCGCATTGGACTCATATTTGACAGTTCAACTTATCTTTTTTTCTTAAAGCTTCATTTTTACACTCACTATTATTATTTTCTCATTCCTCTGACTGGTATTTTTCGCCACTGCCATTAATTATTTCCTCCTGTCACGTATTTTCGTTTTTTTAAAGCTTAAAACTGGCACCGCATTGGGACCCCTTGATTTCCGTATTCACCAGGACACCCAATGCGGTAATTCGCAAATACCGCATTGGCAGGTTGGCACTTGCAATACGGAATCCCGTACCTCCCAATACTTTTTTTTACAGGGATTTCATCAATTAACAGTAACCCATGCGTACTAGACTTAAAACAATTCTTAACTGAGGGTGTTTCCGACATTCGCTCTTGGAGTGCACTCAGAGCGCGAAGGGGTTCTCAACTATTCTGAAGAGTTAATTTAGTAACACTTGCTTTTCATTGGCCGAGCACGAGAAGCGTGTTATCCAAACTTTAGAGTATAGCAATATTGTACAAAATGGTCTAAAATGCGATTTAAAATCTGAAAATAAAATTTTAATTAAACTTTATAAAATTTACTAAATTAAACTTTATAAAATTAAAAGCCTTTAGTTTGAAATTTTATTAGAAATTCAATAAATTATAATATATTTTAAACGTTTATTTATTAGTATCCAAATTTAAGAGGTTCAAATTGTTTGTATATGATTAAAAATTAAAGTGTTTTTAGTAGCATAGTTACAATTATAATTAAAACTGATTTTTAAAAGGTCTAGTTGTACTATATGTTTAATATTTTTCCTTTTTTAGTAGTTAATTCTGACTTTTATTTGGTTTTTTAAAAACTTTTTTTTTGCTCTTTGAAAACTCTGCATTGTAAATTGATCAAATATTAAAAAAAAAATTTAAGTAAAACTTCCTTTTTTGTACAAGTTTTGTACAATGTAAAATTAATAAAAACAATTTTAATTATAATTTTTTTATGCGTTAAAAATAACTATTTTATTCCAAGATGATATATGCATTTTGTTGACTTTCGTTAAATAGTAATTTTTATTATAATATTCATTAATGTTATTACTATT